CCAGGCTACTCTCAAACTCCTGACCTCACGTGATCCACCCACCTCGGCTTCCCAAAGTGCTGGGATTACAGGTGTGAGCCACTGCGCCTGGCCGTACTTTCCATGTTTTAAACATCGTTTTCAAACCACTGCATTCACAGTATTCCACAGTGTGGCTGCACCTTCAAAGTGTTTCTAACCAATTCCCCATTGATGAATATTTAGGTTGTTTCTGAGCTTTGACTTTTATTAAAAAATGCTGTGATGAATATCCTGTACACATTTATCCACCTAGATGTGTATTTCTATAGGATAGATTTGTAGTAGTATAATTCTTGGATCAGAGATAGTGTGCATTGAAGTATGTATCACAAAATTGCCTTCTTGAAAGATCGTTCCTAATTCCTCTGCTACTGGCAGTGGACGATAATATCTTCTAATCTGGTGAATTCTGATCCCCAAACTACACCACACAAAAGCTTGCAGTCCACTCCCTGCAGTGGTTCCTTGAAATGACCCAGGTTGTCCTTTTGTTCTTCACTGTTTCTTTATTTTTCCCTTCATTTTAATGATTAAAAACACTTTTATTGTGAATAGCATACATACCACAGGTTACAGAAAACTAACATTTATAGCTTAAAAAATAATAATATAATGGCTCTTAAGCATCTATCATGTAGGATAAGAGAGAGGACATTATCAGTGGTCTCTAAGGCCCCCATGTGTTCCTCCCTTTCCCGACCCTTTAATAAATATCACCTGAACCTTTGTGGGAACAATTCCTTTTCTTTAGAGTTTGCACATAAGTTTGTGCAGAGAATTTGTACTGCGTCAGCATAGATAAGATAGAACTGTATTTCCCTAAATTCTCTTCCTTTCACATTTCCAGGTCAGCGAGGGGCCCGAAGGAACCTTGTATGTGAGATCTGGAAGGTGGAAGTGGAGCAGCAGCTACATTCTGTTTCAGCTCAGGAAGGTCAGTGCAAGGTACCAGATACCACCATATAAGTCACATACCTGCCGGCTTCTGTAGGCGTGGGGCCTGAGTTGGCCTGTAGCCCCTCAGGTGTGGGTTTACCTGCCTGGTGCAGATGCCAGCTTCTCCATAGGCCATTCACATACTGAACTTGGATCAACACAGGTGTCAGCCTATCCTGGTAGGTTCCAACTCCTCCTCGCGATTCCCCACTTTACATCCATCTTTCCTTCCAGGCTGTCCATCCTACCAGCTTCAGATCCCAGCCAAGAAACAAAGCCAACAGGCTGACACTAATGGTTTAGCCAGCTCCCACAGTTGCCTAGGGTCAAATGCTTGTCACAAATTCGTCTTCCCAGTGGTTTTGCTTCTCTGATTGGCCCCTGCCTGATAAGATATGTGTCCTCTGTAGAGGGGTTAGTTGTGCCTGTCTCTGAATTTTGTGTTGGGCTCTGATTGTGTCTTTATTTATTTATTTATTTATTTATTTATTTATGAGATGGAGTTTCACTCTTGTTGCCCATGCTGGAGTGCAATGGCGTGATCTCGGCTTACTGCAACCTTCGCCTCCCAGGTTCAAGTGATTCTCCTGCCTCAGCCTCCCATGCAGCTGGGATTACAGGTCCCCATCACCACACCTAGCTAATTTTTGTGTTTTTAGTTAGAGACTGAGTTTCACCAAGTTGGCCAGGTTGGTCTTGAACTCCTGACCTCAGGTGATTTGCTCTTCTCGGCTTCCCAAAGTGCTGGGATTACAGGCGTGACCAACTGTGCCCGGCCACGACTGTGTCTTTAACTGTCCTGCCTGCCAGCCGAGAATAGGAAAACCCAGCCTGAGGCTGCTCCCACACCTGTGCCCCTGAGCCTCCGCTGGGGCACCCCTATCAGGATGACAGAGACTCCAGCAACCCCAGCTCAAGGCACAGATGAGTGCAGGTGCAGAAAATGTAGACTGATCTTACCCATGTGAGTGAAATGGTCTGAAAAGGTCATATCTACATGTAATTTTCCATCTGTCAGGTGCTCGCACCGAAAAGCAAAATATCGGTTAAAAAACGAACTGTCTAGGAATCTTATTTCAGCTCTACTACTGTCTAGCCATGAGATTTTGGCCAGGTTGCTTTGGTAAAGCTTCAGTTTCCTCGTTGATGTATGGAAATGCGGATCTTCAGGCCTCTTTGACTCTGCTATGCATGGTAGTGTGGTTCTCCCTGTGGGTCTGCATGTTATGAGTTTGAACAGGACATGCAGACTGAGGTGCTCTTTAGACTGGGTGCTGCCTTGATTTAATGAACAAAGGGAGCCCATCCTGCAGAGACTGGGGATTGTGGTGGAGAGAGACACCATGAACTCAGAGAGATAGATAAAAATAGACAATGGTGTTAGAGTGAGTACAGGAAGCAAGAATGGCCAGTTCAGACCGAGCAGGCAGATCAGGCAGAAAGGTGCTGGACCCTGAGACCTTGGGACTCAGGCTCAGAAACATCGGAGGGAAGAAAGAAGTCAACAACTCAAAGGCAAGCCCCAGATTTGCCTGTCCTAGGGATGGTGTGGTTGGTAAATTATTTGTGCCAAGACTGTTCTTATGAGAGAGAGTCTGAAAGAGAGAGAGAGAGAGAGACAGACAGACAGAGAGAGACAGACAGAGAGAGATTGGAGATAGAGATGAATTACAGAGTTCATGTAAGCATAATTTAATCTCTGCCTCATTTTCCTAGGCTGAGGGTATCCTTTTATTATCCTTGGAGAACCATGTTTCTTCCAGTCCTTGTTAGAGGAAAGAGCAGAGTCCTGAAACCAGTCCTTGTTAGAGGAAAGAGCAGAGTCCTGAAACCAGTCCTTGTTAGAGGAAAGAGCAGAGTCCTGAAACTAGAGGCATAATTTGGCCTCCTCCCTCTGGGAGTTGTCTCGGGGAGCCACCTGGTCCATCAGCCTTGTCCAGGCAGAGCACCATTGGTTCCTCTGGCAAGTCAGGTCCTTGGTAAATACACGTTTCCCTGCATTTCCTGCTACTGAATCAGAAGCTGTTCCCAAGACTCAGCCAGAGCAGTTGAGTCATGCTTGGTCCTGAGTTTAGCAAGTGCCCAGCATAGAATGAGCAGGAAAGAAGGGATTGTTGTGCTGAATGCAATAGGAAAGGCAGTTTTGTGGCTTTTGAGTGGAAGTTCTCTGCCCCCAAGCCCTCCCACTCAGAGGTGTGCTCCTGCCTCCCTGTTTTCTCCTAGATTTAGTTGTTAACCTGAAGGGGGTTGTTTGGGAACTGAGGTCGTTTAGTTCCTTTTGCCTCCTTCCTTCCTTCTCAGGCTGCTCAGACCCAGACGCCCTCTAGACAAAGACCCTGCAGAGACAAGCCCTAGGAATGCGAGCTCCCCCAGGGCAAGGCACTGTCTGTCGTGATCTCTGCTGTATCCCCACTCTCTGAACAGTCAGAACTCCATGCTGTTGGAGGCATGATTCGAATCTTCTGTTTTCTCCTAATGACAGATTATAAACCACTTCCCCATTCTGCAATCGGGCTGTCCTGTCAAACCTGGAATGATGGGTGTGTGCTTGGGTGGGAGAGAGGGAAGAGGGTAGGGCACTCACAGCGGGTGCTGCTGGCTGAGCTGGGAGAGCTCTCTGCCTTCCTACTACGTGATCAGGGGGATTTGGTGAACTTACTCAACCCTCTGCACCTTCTAATTCTAAGTTTCACCCCTGACACTCCTGACTACTGCCTAACCCAAGGACATGAGAGGCCCTAAAGCATCCCAGAACACATTTCTTTCTATGATGCGTGGTCTACAGCAGGAAGCTTGGGTTGGGGGCAAGGGGATGGCAAAACTGGGCTCCATCTCTATTGCATCCTTCTCTCTACGACACAACAAATAACAAAGAGATTTACTTCTTGTAAAGACTCTCACTCAAGACCTCTGCTCACCCTTGCCCCACCGCTCTGTAGCAATTTGGAAGCAGTAATATAAACACCCAAGTAAAAATGGTTTATTAAAAAAAAAGATATTAATGGAATCATTTAACAAAAAATATAGCCAGGTGGTTCCAGCCTTGGTTCCAGCCTTGGTTTAATCAGCCTTGGTGCTTAAAATACCTTTTAGGCTTAGTTTTTTTTTTTTTTTTTTTTTTTTTTTTAAATTGATATAAAATATACATAACAAAATTGATCATTTTAACCATTTTAAGTGTCAATTTAGTGGCATTAAGTCACATTACTGTACAATTATCACTACTGTTTATCTTCAGAACTTTTTCAACATCCCAAACATAAACCCTGTGCCCATTAAACCATCACTCCCCATGCTCCCCTCCCCTCAGTCCCTGGTAATCACTGTTCTGCTTTCTGTCTCTGTGAATTTGTTCACTCTCAGTACCTCATGTAAGTGGAATCATAGCTGTTTATGTCTGGCTTATTTCACTTAGCATAACAAGGTTCGTCCATGTTGTAACATGTATGAGTACTTCATTCCTCTTTCAGGCTGAAGGATACTTTGTTGTGTACATATCACATTTTGTTCAGCCATTCATTCATTCATTCATTCATGCATGAACATTTGGGTTGTTTTTGCCTTTTGGGTCTTGTGGATAAGCTAATAAGCTGCTATGAACATTGGTGGACAATATGGGTTCAAGTCCCTGCTTTCACTTCTTGTGGGTCAATTCCTAGAAGTGGAATTGCGGGATCATGTGATAATTCTATGTCTGATGTTTTGAGGAAAGCTGCCATACTGTCTTCCGCAGTGGCCACACCATTTTACATTCCTGCCCTCAATGCTCAAGAGTCCCAGTTTCTCCTCTACATCTTCATGGACTGAGATAGAGTTCACTCTGTCACTCAGGCTGGAGTGCATGGGCACGATCTCAGCTCACTGCAACCTCTGCCTCCCGGGTTCAAGCGATCCTCCCACCTCAGCCTCCCAAGTAGCTGTGATTACAGGTACTTGTCACCATGCCCGGCTAATTTTTTTATTTTTGTATTTTTAGTAGAGACAGGGTTTCACTGTGTTGGCCAGGCCGGCCTCGAACCCCTGACCTCAAGTGATCTGCCCGACTCAGCCTCCCAAATTGCTGGGATTACAGGCCTGAGCCACAGCGCCCAGCTTGATTTTCTTTCTTCTGATACTAGCCATCCTAATGAGTACACAGAGCTGTCTCACTGGAGTGTAGATTTTCACTTCTTAGAACACAGAGTGCCACGGGCTCAGGGACGGGATGCACAGAGCTCCAGCAAGTGATGTAGTAATTATGGCAAGGGGTGAGGCACCAGGGCAGGCTTTTTAAACCATGCAAGAGAAACTAGTAAGAACGTGGCCTCCTCTGCTTCCTGTGACCACAATGGGGGCTGCACAGACACTGAGACCAAGAAGAACCAGTGGACATGAGGCTTGGAATGTGACTGTGAAGAGAAGGGAGGAACCCCACGGGGCTGCACTTAGGCAGGACGTCTCAGAGAGTAGTGGAAGTGTGCCCTGAAGAAGAGCCAACAAAGGAAGGCCTGCTGTCTTTGGGCAGGGAGTCCTTGCTGATCAAGCCATGTGTGGCTAGAATCTTGAGGAGTCCATGGCGAAACTTCTGGCCAATGAAGGCGTAGATGAGGGGGTTGAGGCAGCTGTGAAGGATGCCCAGAATCTCGGTGGCATCCAGGGCCTGGTCGATGTTGTTGCGGCGCTGACAGGTCTCGTTGATCAACCGGGTCCTCATGAGGGTGTCTGCCAGCAGGACCAGGTGGTAAGGCAGCCAGCAGAGTAGGAAGATGAGGACGACAGCAAAGATGACCCGCATGGCCCGGTGCTTCTGCCCCATGTGGGCCTTAAACAGCGTGCGCAGGGTCAATCCATAGCAGAACAGCATGATCAGCAGCGGCAAGATGAAGCCAAAGGTCTGGGGCAGGATCCGCAACACCATCCGCCATTTTGCTGTATTGTTGCCCATGTCCTCATAGCAGACTGGGCTAATATAGGTCAGGTAGACAGTCCTTCGGAAAAGTAAGACAGGCAGGGCCAGGAGCAAGGATAGACTCCAGATGCTGAGACATACGAACTTGACCAAGTAGCGCTTCTGGGTCAGTGTGCGTGTGGCATGGACAATGGCCAGGTAACGGTCCACACTGATGCAGGCCAGTAGCAGGATGCCACTATAGAAGTTGACTTCCTTCAGGAGTGAGACCACTTTGCACAGGAATGTGCCAAAAATCCAGCCATTCACCTTGGCGGCAGCCCAGATGGGCAAGGTCAGGGCAAACAGTAGGTCGGCCATGGCCAGGTTCAGTAGGTAGACATCAGTGATGGAGCGGCCGACCCTGCTGTGTAAGATGACCAGCATCACGAGGGAGTTTCCCAGCAAGCTCAGCAGGAATACCAGGGCATAGATAATGACCACAAAATACTTGTTGATTTCCAGGGATTCTGGTCGACATGGGGCGACATCTGGTAGAGAAGGGGGCAGGTCAGAGCTGTAACTGTAATTACTAAAATCTTCACCTTTCCAGAGATCTTCAAAATTGAAACTCTCCATGTTAATATCTTCTGTTTTTGAGGTAAACTTAAATCCTGACCTATAGAAGAGAGACGAAGGTTACTGCACAATAAATTCCCCAGATTCTTGCACATCCACCCAAGAAACTGGGATAGGATTCTTTGTGTTGGCTTGAGTATTACATTGAAGTAATTTTTCCCTACAAATTTGTAATCAGTAGCTCTTAGGTTATGAGATAAATTTGGTGATAAATGGTACATTTTATGAAAGGACTATAGTTCTCTTTAATATAAGAGAGAAATTCTTAGCATTTCTTTTAGCATCGCCATCACCTAAAACTTTGCAGAAAGTTCTCTTTGGACAGGCCCTGGTGCGTGATGTTCCCCTTCCTGTGTCTCAAGTGTTCTCATTGTTCAATTCCCATCTATGAGTGAGAACACGCAGTGTTTGGTTTTCTGTTCTTGCGATAGTTTGTTGAGTATGATGGTTCCCAGCTGCATCCATGTCCCTACAAAGGACATGAACTTATCCTTTTTTATGGCTGCATAGTATTCTATGGTGTATATGGGCCACATTTTCTTAATCCAGTCTGTCATTGATGGACATTTGGGTTGGTTCCAAGTCTTTGCTATTGTGAATAGTGCCACAGTAAACATACGTGTGCATGTGTCTTTATAGCAGACATGGCACAGGTATACATATGTAACAAACCTGCACATTGTACACGTGTACCCTAGAACTTAAAGTGTAATAAAAACAAATAAAATAAAAAAATTATAAAATATATAACCCCCTCCCAAAAAAAAAGAAAGTTCTCTTTGGATAATCCCCACAGAACACTCAATACTGCCTGGATCCTGCAGTGGTGAGCATCTTTGGCTATCAAGGCTGGGTTTCATGTTCAGAAATGTGAGATGCCACTCAATTCTTTTTTTTTTTTTTTTAGAGATGGGGTCTTGTTATGTTTCTCAGGATGGTCTTAAACTCCTGACCTCAAGTAATTCTGCTTCCTCTGTCTCCCAAAGTGCTGGGAATAAAGGCATGAGCCACTGCATTCAGCCCCATTCAGTTTTTAATCAGGGGATTAAGCAGGCACTCCAAATGGGCTGTACCCTCAGAAAAGATCATGGTTTGACTATAAAACTGAGGCATGAATCCCTTTGTTCAATTTTCTAAAAGTTATTTTAAAAGAGGTACTCTGGAAAATGGTTTGAACAATTGTGGCATGGAGTTTTGGAAGGCTTGAGCTAGCAGAATCTTCAGTTAATTAGTAAGGTCCAGCGTTTCTCCTTTGGGTAGAAGGAGGCCTGCTTTGGGAATGTATGTGTAGTTTGGAAAAGTATATTAAAAATAATAAGCAAGCGGGCTGCCTGATTCTCCCTGTGGGTGGAAACGTAACAGGTTATTCAGGGAGCTCTGGGCAGCCATGGCCACCATGCAGGATGAGCAGACACAGCCAGTCTGCTCCCCAATAAAAGAGAGGGACAGCAGGAAGCAGAGAAGACAGGGGTTGCACTACCCTTGCTTGGTGGCTCTCCAGCCCTGTTGGGGACCCTTCCTGTCCTGCATGTGTTTGTCTCCATCCAGCCCTGACTCCCCTGTTCCTCTCAGATTTAGTCTAACTCCCCGGGCTCTGCCCTTGCCACAAGGACAGCACAGATCCTGCTTTGGGGAAGCCTGGGTGTAGAGGGTGGGCTGCAGCTATTCAAAAATATGATCCTGACTGGGCGTGGTGGCTCACACCTGCAATCCCAGCACTTTGGGAAGCCAAGGTGGCAGGATCACTTGAGGTCAGGAGTTCGAGACCAGCCTGGCTAACATGGTAAAACGCTGTCTCCACTAAAATTACAAAAATTAGCCAGGTATGGTGATGCGCGCCTGTAATCCCAACTACTTGGGAGGCTGAGGCACAAGAATCACTTGAACCCAGGAGGTGGAGGTTGCAGTGAGCTGAAATCACATCACTGCACTCCAGCCTGGGCAACAGAGTGAGACTCTGCCTCAAAAAAAAAAAAAAAAAAAAAAAAAAAAAATTCCCAGTTTCTCAAAGAAGAAGTCAACTAAAGCAATCCAGCTCCCTAATTAACTTCTTTTTGAACCACAAAACAGATCACCCTCCAGCCATTGCCTTAGAGTAAGGGATGACTATCCTACCACCAACCATGTCCAAGTCCATAACCTACCTCCAAATGGAACCCAGAGTCAGAGAAAAACCAGGAAGTTAAAGGTCCCAGGACCCACTTCACACTCACCAGGCTGGGCACACTCAGAAAAAGACGCCCAAGAACAATGTGGGTGAGGAAGTGGAAAAGTCAGAACTCTCCCATATTGCAGGTGGTAATGTAAGATGGTGCAGCTGCTTTGGAAAACAGTTTAGCAGTTGCTCAAAAAAGTTCAACATAGAGTTACCACATGAACCAGCAAACCCCATCCTAGGTATGTATCCAAGAGAATTGAAAGCTAATGTTCATAGCAGCAGTCATCATTAAGCTCAAAAAGTGGAAAGAAACCAAATATCCATCAACTGATGAATGGACAGACAAATTGAGGAAAAGTCATGAGTAACTGGAAGACTTTTTGGTCAATGACACATCACAAATACCACAGTGGTCCCATAAGATTATAATATTGTATTTTTAGTGTTTTTTTCCTATGTTTAGATATACAAATACTTACCATTGTGTTATAATTACCTATAGTATTTAGCACAGTAACGTGCTGTATAGGTTTGTAGCCTAGGAGCAGTAGGCTTTACCGTATAGCCCATGTGTGTAGTAGGCTATAACATCATATACTCTACGATGTTCACATGACATAGTTCTCAGAATGCATCTGCATTGTTAAGCAACCTATGACTGTATTATATACAATGGAATATTATTCAGCCATGAGAAGGAATGAGGTACTGATACACAATACAACATGGATGAACTTTGAAAATGTTAGTCTAGGTGAAAAAAGGCAGACACAAAAGTTTTCCTATTGTGTGATTCCATATATGTGAAATGACCAAAATAGGCAAATGGGTAGAATTGGTAGAGACAGAAAGTAGATTGGTGGTTTCCAGGGGCAAGGGGAGTTGGGAGAGGAATGTTAATGACTACAGAGTTTTTCTTTTGAGTGATAAAAGTGTTCTGGAATTAGTGGCAATGGTTGTAGAATATGCTAAAAACTTTAAATGGGTGACTTTTGTGGTATGTGACTTATGTCTCAATTAAAAACAAAAAGATTAATCAAAGGGTGCACAGCCTTGCAAAGCAAATACAAATATTACAACAATAACAACAAAAGTCCTAGGGAGGATTTCTCTTTAGCAGAAAGGAAGTCTCTGTTGTTGTCAATCATATGTAGCAAAGAAGAAAGCGGAAGAAGATTAAGCAAAACTGGGAAAATAATGCCCTTTTCCCCCCAAGAGTGACGGAATTCTTAGCCATCACCTTCCTGACAAGTTTTTACTTTCTCTTTTGAGAGTTAGGGGCCAGATACATTGCCTTCCCAGCATACCAAGGCAACTGATAGAGAAGATTCAATCAGTTGATGAACCTAGAGAGACATGATGATGATGGTGAGGCCCTGCCTGGCCGGAAGGCTGGGGAGGTATTGAGAGAGCTGGTAATACAGCTTGCTGGACCAGTATAGTCAGCAAGACCTGAAAGAAGTCACCAGCACCACAGTCCCATGGTTGAGAGCAAGTTTGCTCAGAGGTCCAGGGTATGTCCAATGAAGTCACGAGGTCAAGGGTGGATCACTTCTGAGAGCAGATGATTACAGATGCTCTTAAGGGAACAGATGACCCAAGAGAAGACCCTTCTTTGAGAGTAGATGCAGGGCATATTGGGTGCAGAGAGCTTGTGCTCTTAGAGAGCAGGGCCTTGTATGTATGAGTATTGGCTGTGAGAAGCCAGGACTGGGGCTGCTGCAGAAACTGTCGTGTCGGCACAGGCAGCAGTGGCAGAGCATGTTTCACAGGTAAATCCTCACTGTGGATAATCCAGTGCTCAGCTGTGCTGACGGTGGGCTGGACGTATATGTGTGAGCCCATGCTCCCAGGCATTATGGGTCAACTGCAGGTTCCAGAGGGAGAGCATGTAAGTCAGGACAGAAGGTAGAGAATTCAGCAAGGAGAACCAGGTCAGGCCAATGACCTTCAGCTCCTAGGGTAGGGAGAGGGGTGTTCGCTGTTGGTGTTGTTTTTTAGTTTACCAGTCTCTACAGAGGATGACTTGGCAGACAGAGGGACAAACTAAGGGAAGGAGACGACACATCTGAGGTCTGCTTTGTGCCTCACAGGTACATGATCTCCATGGCTCATTACAAATAGATACAATTAGGTCCTGTTTCTAGAAGACTGAGACACAAGGAGGTTCAGCTGACCTAACAGGGAGGCTCAGTAACCAGCCTGCGATAACAGGGTGGAGAAGTGGTGAAACCACTGTTCCAGTGAGGTGTAAAGGGCTCCACTTGTATTATTTGCAGTCTATAGCCCTTCTTCTTAAAAAAAGTGCACCTCATCTATTAAACATATTTGTAAGTTAAGTTCTTGAGATATAATTAAATCAACCTGTGTATGGTCCACTCACATTCTTTGATGTTTTATGCATTGTTTTCTTTTGCCATTTCTTAGGCCCAGAATGAAAGAAACAGCTCTGGCAGGGATGATAAACCAAACACCCTTGAAATGGCTGGGTCCGGCTGGCCACCCAGTCATATTTTCCAGGATAAAAAGGGGGCTTTCGGCCGGGCGCGGTGGCTCAAGCCTGTAATCCCAGCACTTTGGGAGGCCGAGGCGGGCGGATCACAAGGTCAGGAGATTGAGACCACAGTGAAACCCCGTCTCTACTAAAAATACAAAAAATTAGCCGGGCGCGGTGGCGGGCGCCTGTAGTCCCAGCTACTCAGGAGGCTGAGGCAGGAGAACGGCGGGAACCCGGGAGGCGGAGCTTGCAGTGAGCCGAGATCGCGCCACTGCACTCCAGCCTGGGCAACAGCGTGAGACTCCGTCTCAAAAAAAAAAAAAAAAAAAAAAAAAAGGGGGCTTTCTTGACTTAGGGAAAATGCCAGCCCCTTAGTGACTCATGGTAGTTTGGAAACTCCATAGATGATGGCATGAATTCTAATTTATTACATGAAAATGCTATAGAATGAGAGACATTTACAAGATCTCAAACATTTAAGGCAATCTTTTTAACAACAAAACAGTCATTTTAGTACAGTTTCAGTATTATTTCTCTCTATAAATATAATCCACAAATATTTGCATTTAGTGTAGGGAAGTGGGAAGTGAACAGTGTTCGTTCGGCCCATCCTCAGACCCAGTCCTAGCCCAGGCCAGGAGGGCTGGTTGAGTCTTGGAAGGCCACTAGGCCAAGGGAAGAGCGTGGGCATCAAGTGGTCCTGAGCGGTTAGAGAGGGTTGTGAGGGAGGAGGAACAGAAGTTCTCCCTTTGGGGATCGGGTCCCCAAAGGGAGAAAATGAAGAGGCCAAGGGGTGAGGGTGAGGGGCCCACCAAGGGTGGGGAGAGATGCTTGGGATAAATGTAGGCTGGGTATCAAGGGAAACAAAGAACAGAAACATTCTAGCTGTTGGGAAGGGTGGGTGTTCCAAGACTTACCAGGATGCTGGGCTTTTCACCTGTAGGACACCTCCAGGAGGGCAGCTGCAATCTATGAAAGGGAGGTGGTGGTGAGAACACAGTGGAGGAAGTGAGTGGTGGATTGATTGCTCAATGCAGTGCAGGGGTGGAGCTCCTGAGGGTGCGGGTGATTCTGATAACTTTGAATAATTAGTTCCCAGGTCAGCTCCTGGATCCATAGTCATTTCACGGACTCGTAGAGTTTATATTGGGAAGGGACCTGAGGGGTTTTCTAGCTAGTCTTTTCATTTTACAGATGGGGAAACAAGCCCAGACAAAGGAAATGGCTTGCCCAGGATCGCATGGATTTCTTTCATCTTTGCTGTATCTCAGAGCCCCTGGCTCCTTCAGCTACCTTGTCTGAGTCTCCTGGCACTCCAGCTGCCTCAGGCTTCCCCGTCGTACCATCGGCAGTACTATAGCTCTTGAATGTCTTTCACATGTCAAAGGGGAGCAGTGCATTAAAACGACAGAGATGGACTAAAGCTTCTGGTGAGTCTGGTGGTGCTCCTCCCTGGACCTGATGCCTCTACTTTTCGGCTCCACTCCTGCCTCTCTTCTTTCCCCTCACTCCCCAACCATCTGCTCTGACCACAGGTGCATCTCTGGGTATTGATATTCTTTCTTGGTTCATACACTTGGCATTGGGTCTGAGGACCCCAACTCTGTAGCAGCTACCACCCTTGGAGCCAAGACCCTCTAATTTGGAAAGAAAGCCTTTTGGTAAAAGTGAAGATTCCACCCAAGTCCAAATATATTTTTAAAAACAGTGTTGAGTGACCCTAATAATGTATTTTATCAATTTGCTATTGATTACAAATGAATGAATTAATCCAGGGAGAGCTATGAACACTAATTCTGCTCCCTCCCAAGTGCCCACCCCAGTGAACAACACCTCAATCCTCTCCATTACTCTTTACCCTATCTCTTGCTCCATGCATCCCAGGGCCCAGAGGGCACTCAATGCCTGTGGCAGATGCACTTAAACTGCCTACCTACCCCAAAGAAAGAATGTTTGAGTCTAACTGTTTAGCAAATGTTTCTTAGTCTTCGTCACCTCTCTTTCCCAAGCTGGGGAAGAATGCAATGCCACCTGGCCAGCTGACGCTAAAACCAGATAGAGGCTTATTACATATGGAGAGAGGCAGATGAGACCAGAGCTAGCTGAGCAATTCTGAGCTACTGACTTTTCCCATCTGAGTCTCAGTTTACTCATCTGTAAAATGGGGCCAATACAGACTCCAACTTATGGGGTTGTGGTGAGGATGAAATGAGGGATTGCTTGTAAATCATGTAAGACATACATAAAGTACAATGTTAACCTTTATTATTGTGATCATTATTACTGGAATAGTTTATTCACTGATAACATGCTGCCTCTCTCACTACATCCCCAATCAAGGGAAAGCAGTGGGCAGTGGGTGTGCTTTCAAGGCTGACTTTGATGACATCTAATTTGCTTTGCCCTGGATATTAATTGCCATATTAGCTGTAATGTTGAATGTCTACCAGGTTCTAGCTTCTGGGCAAAGTGCTTTCTAGAATTTATATCAATTAATCCTCAGGACAACCTCATGAAGCAGGCACTTTCTGGATGAGGAAATGAAGACTCTGAGAGGTTAAGCAACTTACCTAGAGTGACACAGCTGAATTAGGCTTTCAGTTTAAAAAACCTCTAAAAATCTACTCTCAAATGCTATCTCCTGTTCACTGTAATAAGGAGCAGGATCCCAGCCTAAAGTTTCTGAGCCCCATTAGGTACCTCCTTGTGTCCCAGAAAGCCAGATACGAAGGCTGTAGAGAGGGGAGCCCAGATTTGACGTTTCCCAGTCAGCCTCCTTCACACTCCTTAGGTCAATTTCATTTCCATGGAGATCACTGCTGTTGTATGTAGGGTAGAGTGAATTAAAAAACTGGCTTCTGGTGAGGTGGCTCATGCCTGTAATTCCAGTGCTTTGAAAGGCTGAGGCGGGTGGATCACTCAAGGCCAGGAGTTAGAGACCAGCCTGGCCAACATGGTGAAACCCCGCCTCCACTAAAAATGCAAAAATTAGCCAGGCGTGGTCGCACATGCCTGTAATCCCAGCTACTCCAGAGGCTGAGGCATAAGAATTGCTTGAAATAGGAAGGCAGAGGTTGAAGTGAGCCGAGATTGTGCCAGTGCATTCCAGCCTGGGTGACAGAGCGAAACCCTGTCTCAAACAAAAACAAAACAAAAACCTGGCTTCTAATCCTGCTTGTAGAAGTCATTCTTTCTGGGCCTTGGTGTGTGCCTTTGGAAAATGGGAGCTTCTTTCAAGTCTATTCTGTCCAGCATGATAGCTACTAGCCATGTGTAGCTATTTACATTAAAATTAATAAAATAAAGGCCAGGCAAGGTGGCCCATGCCTGTAATCCCAGCACTTTGGGAGGCCGAGGTGGGCGAATTGCTTGAGCCCAGGAGTTTGAGACCATCCTGGGCAACACGGCGAAACCCTGTCTTTACAAAAAACAAACAAACAAACAAAAAAACCCCCCCAAAAACCCCCCAAAAATTAGCTGCGTGTAGCGGCACGTGCCTGTAGCTGCAGCTACTTGGGAGGCTGAGGTGGGAGAATCACCTGAGACCTGTAGGTCAAGGTTGCAATGAGCCAAGATCATGCCACAGCACTCCAGCCTGGGCATTGGAGTGAGACCCTGTCTCAAAAAAGAAAAAATAAAATAAAATAAAATAAAAATTGAGATCCTCAGTCACACTAGTCACACTTCAAGTGCTCCGTAGCCACGTGTGACTAGTGGCTACCATATAGGGCAGGGCAGATCTAGGACATTTCTATTATTGCAGAAAATTCTTTTGTGCAGCGCTGTCTAGGTGAAGACTTAGTTGTCTTTAGCTCTAAGTTTCTACACTTCATCACCCTAGTTCTCAGGTCCTCAGAGGAGGCTGAAGTTTCTAGATCTCTTCCATTAGAAATATGTCCCCAGCATCTCAGACTGAACAAGTCACCTACCTGCTGTTATTGGAGTGGCCACCGATGTCTTCACTGTGCCTCAAGGTTGGATGGTAGTCAGAGCTGTTAGACAGGAAAAGAAAAAAAAAAAAAAAAAGAGACAGCTTTGACAATGAAACTTCTGACCTGGGTTGCAAGGGGGAAATCCAAGAGGCCCTCCTGGGGAGGTGTTCCCACAGAGGAACAATGAGGTCTGTCCTGGGACTTTGGCCCAGGAGAGGTGCCACTTAGTGATTCTGGGATGAGTGCTGGGGATTTTCACATCTTCCTGTCTGATGGCTTCTGGAGGAGCCTACCAGTCTGAAGGTGGAGATTTGCCTACCCACCTTCTGTCTCTAAATGTTTTGAACCTGCACTTCCTTTTTTAACAAGGAAGATGCGGGCATCCCAGCCCCCGCCAATGGACGTGTCTGAACTTACACGCAGTTTCTTCCTTCTTTCCAGGGCCAGAGTGAGAAACGTCCCTCCTTCTGTTTCTGTTGAATCCCCACACCTCTGTGGGCCCCACTGCCTCTCCAGTCCTTGAGGATCCTCTTTCTCTGCCCTCTGTCCTGGCTCTTTTCCTTCCACCACACCTTACTTATGGCTTTATCATGCTCCCTCTGTCCTAGCACCCTTCGGCTACCACAGCTGCTCTTTCCACTTCCTTACCTCCCCTCTGCTGCTCAACAAAGACACTGCAACTGGCTTCCTTCCTACTGCTCCACTGAAATAGCTTTCGCCAAGGTTCCCAATGACCTCTGGGTTGCTAAAGCCAGCAAATCCATTTTTTTTTTGTTTTGTTTTTTAAACCAAATTGCTTCTTTTCCCCCCAAGACAAACAGATTGGAGGTAGCGTTCGCATGTCTCTCCCACTTGGAAGGACAGAGTAGTGTGTAGAGATTCACACTATAAATTTTTTTTCTCCAGGAATGAATGCAGGAACTGAACAGGAAAACTGAAAGAATCCACAAAACTTTTGAAAGAAGTGGCAGCTGCAGCCTACTCTGTGAGACAGGCAAAAAACTCACCTCTAGGCAGAATAGTACTGCACCCAGGAAGGAGAAAACGGCTGCATATTCTCAGCTATCACCATTGCTTACAACACCCTGGCTAACCAGAAGTCCTGCATCCGTCCACGTGATAACATCACTATAATTATAACCAGCATTTGAGAAAGTCAGCATGCTAAGCCTTTCGAATCTTGCAGAGTTTACATCACTCCCCTTCCACGTCTATCAGAGGTGGTGCTGGTGTTCACTGCTGGGAGTCTTAAAGACAGGTCACATCACTGGATCCCTTGCAGACATTCCCCAGCACCAGCCCAGAGTCTGGTAGGCCCCCTGAGGAGCTAGACCCAGAAGAGCACTGTAGTCTGGTCTCAGGAAGTCCCATTCCTAAAGAAAGGGGAAGAACATCACATCAAGGGAACACCCTGTGGGACAAAATAATCTGAACGGCAGGTCTTGAGTGCCAGATCTTTTCACTGGTGTGAAGTTTCCTATAGCAGAGACACAATTGCCGTGCTGTGCTGGGCAGAGTAGGGAAAGTTTGCACCTCTACCCAACAGGCAGGCAGCCTCTGGTATTGTGAAGGGTCTTAGAGAAGGGATCCTTTTTCCCCCTGGTACGCCACTGCAGACAGAGCTGGGGCTTCTCCCAAAGGAATGCAGCATGGATGCACCTACAGACAGCTTTCCTGGACAAATCAGGGTGATTGCATCCCCACGGGAGGAGCACTCCCCAGATTCAGGCTTGCATGACAGGCAGTCCCAATTCCACTCTACTTGGAACATCAACATTTCTACAGATGAAAATAACTGCCTGTCTGATGTGAATAGCCAGAACACTGGGACAGGAGTGAAGTGGGGAGGTGGATAGTTTTCTAGCTGGCCTTGTGGGGGACCTGAGGTAGCTCTTACCCTTCACCCTGACAAAACCTCAGCATATCTAATTGAGAGCTCCCCAGCCACTTTCATCAAGGCTGGGATCTCTGCCCACCATTGGGTATTACATCTACCCACCTGCTTTAGCTACAACTGGTGCCTACCCAGGGATACTTCCCCTACTGGTCCGAAGCCTGAATCATCAACTCAGTAAATAAAATACTGGGGAAAAATTAAATAAATAAAGAGTACACCATGAGAGAATGAGGTAAGCTTAAAGAGATTCCTGCCATTCCAACCCCATAGGAGACAGTAAACCTTCTCACACACTACGTACATAACTACTACAACCAGGATCTGGGAAAGCCAGCACACACTCTCTCACACTAAGGAACTCATACAGAGTCTTCACTCCTAAAACCCAAAAGTCTTCACCCCTAAAAACCAAGGATCAAATTAGGCTAAAATAAACTATAAACATTAAAGTCAGATCCTTAAGAGGAAAGAAAAACAAATTAAAAAAAAAAAACATAGTCGCTGGGCACGGTGGCTCATGCCTGTAATACCAGCATTTTGGGAAGTTGAGGCTGGCAGATCATCTGAGGTCAGGAATTTGAGACCAGCCTGACCAACATGGAGAAATCCTGTCTCTACGAAAAATACAAAATTAGCCAGGCATGGTGGCACATGCCTGTAATCCCAGCTACTTGGGAGGCTGAGACAGGAGAATTGCTTGAACCTGGGAGGCAGAGGTTGCAGTGAGCCAAGATCACATAATGCACTCCAGACTGGGCAACAAGAGTGAAACTTCATCTCAAAAAAATAAATAAATAAATAAAAGTCAAATCAAAAATAAATTCAAGAATAACTTGAAGAAATAGTCTACCCAAATGAGAAGGAACCAGAGAAGTAGTTCTGGCAATATGACAAAACAGGGTTCTGTGACACCCCCAAAAGATCACACTAACTCTCCAGCAATAAATCCAAACCAAGAAGGAATTTTCGAAATACCAGATAAAGAACTCAGAAGGTTTATTATTATTATTATTATTATTATTATTTTGAGACAGATTTTTCACTCTTGTTGCTCAGGTTAGAGTGCAATGGTATCATCTTGGCTCACTGCAACCTCTGCCTCCCAGGTTCAAGTGATTCTCCTACCTCAGCCTCCTGAGTAGCTGGGATTACAGGCATGTGCCACCACATCCAGCTAATTTTTGTATTTTTAGTAGAGCTTGGGTTTCGCCATGTTGACCAGGCTGGTCTCGAACTCCTGGCCTGAAGTGATCTGCCTGCCTCGGCCTCCCAAAGTGCTAGGATTACAGGTGTGAATGACTGTACCTGGCCCAGAAGGTTGATTATTAAGCTACTTAAGGAGATACCAGAGAAAAGTAAAAACCAACATAAAGAAATTTTAAAACACCAGTTCAGGATATGAATGAAAAAATTTCTGGAGAGGTATATATCATGAAGAAAAACTAATCAAAACCTCTGGAAATGAAAGTACACTTAGGGAATACAAACTGTGGTGGAAAGTTTCAACAATAGACTAGAACAAGTAGAAGAAAAAACTTCAGAGCTCAAAGAAAAGGCATTTGAATTAGCCCAATCAGACAAAGATAAAAAAAAAAAATCAAAAGAAATGAACAAAGTCCCCAAGAAATATAAAATTATGTAAAACAGCAAAACCTGAGAATTATTGGTATTCCTGAGGGAGAAGATAAGTCTAAAAGTTTGAAAAACTTATTTGAGGGAATAATTGAGGAAAACTTCCCTGACCTTGCTAGAGATGTAGATACCCAAATATAAGAAGCTCAAAGAACTTCTGGGAAATTCATTACAAAAATATTATCACCTAGGCACATAGTCATTAAGTTATCTAAAGTCAACATAAAGGAAAGAATTTTAAGAACTCTGTGACAAAAACATCAGGTAACCTATAAAGGAAAACCTATCAGACTAACAGAAGATTTCTTGTGGAAACCTTGCAAGCCAGAAGGGATTGGGGTCCTATCTTTAGCTACTTTAAACAAAATAATTGTCAGCCAAGAATTTTGTATCCAGCAAAACTAAGCTTCATAAATGAAGGAGAGATAAAGTCTTTTTTCAGACAAACAAATGCTGACAGAAATTGCCACTACTAAACCAGCATTATCAGAAATTCTAAAAGGAGTTTTAAATGTTTAAACAAAAGCTTTATGTGCACCAAAATAGAATCTCCTTAAAGCATAAATCTCACAGGGCCTATAAAACAATAACACAATGAAAAAAACAAAGTATTTAGGTAACAACTAATATGATGAATAGAACAGCAACTCACATTGAGAGGTGAAGCTGGCTGGGCTTCTGGGTTGGATGGGGACTTGGAGAACTTTTCTGTGTAGCTAAAGGATTGTAAACACACCAATCAGCACTCTGTGTCTAGCTAAATGTTTGTAAACACACCAATCAGCACTCTGTAAAAATGCACCAATCAGCACTCTGTGTCTAGCTAAAGGTTTGTAAATGCACCAATTAGCACTCTGTAAAAATGGACCAATCAGCACTCTGTAAAATGGACCAATCAGTGCTCTGTAAAATGGACCAATCAACAAGATGTGGGCGGGGCCAAATAAGGAAATAAAAGTTGGGCACCTGAGCCAGCAGTGGCAACCGGCTCAGGTCCTCTTCCAAGCCATGGAAGCTTTGTTTTCTCGCTCTTCACAATAAATCTTGCTGCTGCTTACTCTTTGGGTCCGCACTACCTTTATGAGCTATAACACTCACTGCGAAGGTCTGTGGCTTCACTCCTGAAGTCAGCCAGACCACGAACCCACCAGGAGGAGCCAGCAACTCTGGATGCGCCACCTTTAAGAGCTGTAACACTCACTGCAAACGTCTGTGGCTTCACTCCTGAAGTCAGTAAGACCATGAACCCACTGGAAGGAAGAAACTCTGGACACATCTAAACATCTGAAGGAACAAACTCCAGACACACCATCTTTAAGAACTGTAACACTCACTATGCGGGTCCGTGGGTTCATTCTTGAAGTCAGTGAGACCAAGAACACACCGGAAGGAACCAATTCTGGACACATTTTGGTTACCACAAAGGGACTATCGCCTATCGCCAAGCGGTGAGTACCATCAGATCCCTTTCACTTCCTAGTCTGTCCTATTTTTCCTTAGAATTCAGGGGCTGAATACTGGGCACCTGTCAGTCAGTTAAAAGTGACTAGCATGGCTGCTGGACTAAAGACATGGGTGTCAGGCTTTCTGGGAAAGGGCTCTCTAACAATCCCTGACTCTTTGGAGTTGGGAGCATTGGTTTGCCTGGAACCAGCTTCCACTATTCCTGTACTTCTGGGCTGAACCAAGGGTCGACAGAGAGGAAAATCATTTAGCTCCAGGGTCCTGACAACAAATTGGTTGACCCTGCGGCCATGAGCGGAACTCTCAAAGTCATGTCACCCAAGGGAGACTTGCCCATCTATCCTATCAACCCTGACCGTTGCCTCCTGGGTCCTAATGCCTGTCAGACAAACTTCCTCTCACCTCTCTTCTCTGAGGCTAGTCCTGCTTCTAAAAACCACTCTCTGTCTCTGGTGCTTTTCTAGTTTCTCTTGTAAGAATGATTTCTAGTACAAACTTCAGGACTCTGTTACCTTCTGTAGGCACCTGGGCTCACCAATCAGAAAGACATAATTTTTCTTGAAAGCCCCATCATAGGGGGGGTCTATCTGGAATTTTAGGATCCCTCCCCAGACAAGCAGGCCTAACAAAAGCTATTCCTGAAGCTAGGATATGGGGAGCCTCAGAAATTGTATCTTTCCTATTCGTATAAATGAGGACAAAAGGCCTCACTCTTCCAACTCTGGAAATCCCTTCCCTCCCTCAGGGTATAGCCCTCCACTTCATTTTTGGGGCATAACATCTTTATAGGACATGGGTAAGGTCCCAATACTAACAGGAGAAGGCTTAGGACTCTAACAGGTTTTTGAGAATGCGTCAGTAAGGGCCACTAAATCCGATTTTTCTCAGTCCTCTTTGTGGTCTAGGAGGACAGGCAAGGGTGCAGGTTTTTGAGAATGCATCAGTAAGGGCCACTAAATCTGACCTTCCTTGGTCTTCCTTGTGGTCTAGGAGTAAAACTAGTGTTTCTGCTGCTGCGTTGGTGAGTACAACTATTCCGATCAGCAGGGTCAAGGGACTGTTGCAGTTTCTTGGGCAGGGGGAGAAACAAACAAACAAACCAAAACCGTGGATGGTTTTGTCTTTCAGATGGGAAACACTCAGGCATCAACAGGCTCACCCTTGAAATGCATCCTAAGCCATTGGGACCAATTTGACCTGCAAACCCTGAAAAAGAGGCAGCTCATTTTTTCTGCACTGTGGCCTGGCCCCGATATTCTCTCTCTGATGGGGAAAAATGGCCACCTGGGGGAAGTATAAATTACAACACTATCTTGCAGCTTGACCTTTTCTATAAGAGGCAAGCCAAATGGAGTGAAATACCTTATGTCCAAGTTTTCTTTTCATTGAAGCAGAATACACAGCTATGTAAAGCTTGCAATTTACATCCCACAGAATACACAACTATGTAAAGCTTATAATTTACATGCCACCCCTTACCTGAAAGATCAGGTAAGCTGATCTTTCAGCTTACCCCCATATCCTAGCCTCCCTATAGCTCCCCTTCCTATTAATGATAAGCCTTCTCTAATCTCCCCTGCCCAGAAGGAAATAAGCAAAGAAATCTCCAAAGGACCACAAAACCTCCTGGGCTATCAGTTATGTCCCCTTCAAGCTGTAGGGGGAGGGGAATTTGGCCCAATCTGGGTACATGACCCCTTCTCCCTCTCTGATTTAAAGCAGATCAAGGCAGACTGGGGAAGTTTTCAGATGATCCTGATAGGTATATAGATGTCCTATAGGGTCTAGGGCAAACTTTCAATCTCACTTAGAGAGATGTCATGCTATTGTTAGATCAAACCCTGGCCTTTAATAAAAAGAATGTGGCTTTAGCTGCAGTCCGAGAGTTTGGAGATACCTGGTATCTTAGTCAAGTAAATGATAAAATGAAAGCCAAAGAAAGAGACAAATTCCCTACTGGTCAGCAAGCCATCCCCAGTATGGATCCCCACTGGGACCTCGACTCAGATCATGGGGACTGGAGTTGTAAACATCTGTTGACCTGTATTCTAGAAAGACTAAGGAGAATTAGGAAAAAGCCCATAAATTATTCAGTGATGTCTACCATAACTCAGGGAAAGGAAGAAAATCCTTCTGACTTCCTCGAGTGGCTATGGGAGGCCTTAAGAAAATATACTCCCCTGTCACCTGACTCACTGGAGGGTCAATTGATTCTAAAAGATAAATTTATTACCCAATCAGCTGCAGATATCAGGAGAAAGCTCCAAAAGCAAGCCCTGGGACCTGAACAAAATCTAGAGGCATTATTAAACCTGGCAACCTCAGTGTTCTATAATGGGGACCAAGAAGAACAGGCCCCAAAGGAAAAGTGAG